ACTCTATGTAAATGACCGTATGTGATCCTTACAACGACCCTGTGAGGTAGGCACTGCTTTTACTGCCACTGAGGAAAACCCCGAAGAGATTAAGGAACCTGTTCACTATCACAAGACAGAAAGTGGCAAAGGTGGGATTAAAACTCGGTTGTGGCTATAAAGCCCCATCATTTTAACCTCCTTTTGTTATTTTGATTGGGATCAAAAGATTTACTCAACAAATGTTTGTTGAGCACCTACTATGTGTTGGACATTGTTGTAGATGTCGGACAGGTCTGACTGGATTAGAACAACCTTGCTGGTACCCGAATGTTCCACTGCGGTACATTTGGCTAGATGAATGATGATCCACATCTAAAATAACATTGTAAGAGTATTTTTACTGGCACAAAGATGTGCTTATACAGCAAGTGAAAAAGGGGATTACAGGCCAGCCCGGTGGCGCACTGCTACAGTGCGCCGCTTGGGAGCGAGGCGGCGCTCCCGCCGAGGGTTCGGATCCCACATGCAGACCGGTTCCCGCTCACTGGCTGAGCGAGGTGCGGGCGCGACACCGAGGGTTGCGATCCCGTTGCCGGTCCCGGTCCGGTATGGGCGCAACACTGAGGGTTGCGATCCGTTGCCGGACACGAAAAAAAAAAGACAAAAGAAAAGGAAAAAAAAATTAAAAAGAAAAAAGAAAAAGGGGATTACAAAACATACGCAGAAGAATACCATTTATGTCAGAATTTTACACCATACTCACACAACACCGTAGAAACAAAGGCTAGTTGGACATACAGTCAGTGGTAGCTGTGAGTTCTCCCAGTGGAGAGGTTACAGATGATTTCACTTCCTCTTTTTTGCACACCTGGATTTCCTAAAACATGTTACTTGAGTAATAAATAAATTACCCCAAAAAAGGGAAAGATGCGTTGTTCTAACAAAATCAGCCCACCACAACTTTTAGATGGAAACACAGTGTCTTGCTTACAAAGTTGACAAATCTCACTTGCCCCAGAATTACAAAGGGGAGCCAGTGAGAACATAGAAATACTTTTTATCAATCTAGCAACATCAAACAGAAACTGTCTTTCAAAATAAGCAGCAGCCATTTTTCTGTCTGATATAAAATACTTTTTTTTATAATTAAAAATATTCCCTATTGGATTAGTATATTAGTTACATTTTACAAGCCTTCCATCAGAATGTTATTGCCAATTCTTTATTTCAACTTAATAAATACTTTATGATGACATGAATCACTATATACTTATTAATATTCATTTACTATTGATAACACATGAAGTAAAATATTACATTGCCATATGTTGCTTTTTTTTTTTTTTTTTTTCCTTTTTGTCTTTTTTCGTGACCGGCAACGGATTGCAACCCTCAGTGTTGCACCCGTACCGGACCGGGACCGGCTACGGGATCGCAACCCTCGGTGTTGCTCCCGCACCTCGCTCAGCCAGTGAGCAGCCGGTCTGTATGTGGGATCCGAACCCTCGGCGGGAGCGCCGCCGCGCTTCCCAAGCGGTGCACTGTAGCAGTGCGCCACCGGGCCGGCCCCTGTTTTGTTTTTTTTTTTTTTTTTTTCCTTTTTGTCTTTTTCGTGACCGGCAACGGATTGCAACCCTCAGTGTCGCACCCGTACCGGACCGGGACCGGCTACGGGATCGCAACCCTCGGTGTTGCTCCCGCACCTCGCTCAGCCAGTGAGCAGCCGGTCTGTATGTGGGATCCGAACCCTCGGCGGGAGCGCCGCCGCGCTTCCCAAGCGGTGCACTGTAGCAGTGCGCCACCGGGCCGGCCCCTGTTGCTTTTGTTTTTAATGGAAGTTTTGTCAGTACAAAGATTAAATGCTGTTAAAATGTTGTGGTTTGTTACAAGCAAAGTATATTAAAATTTTAACTATTCTATGATAAAGGCCTCCCACCACATCATAAGAACGACTATGAAATCCAGAGATGATTTCCAAAGAAAATGGGATACAGGTGCAAGAAAACTGAAACCATCATAAAGAATATAGTTTTATAAAAGCAAAATGTTATTTTTAATTATTTAAAATAAATTATTATAACTTGGAAAAGGTGACTGTTTAGGACTTCACAAACACTATTATTTTGTGTTCAATCTATATTTGTACAATTTACATGGAATGGCCTTATATTTACTGTAATTGTTATTATTGAGAAAAATATATGCTGATGTGGAATTGCTTTTCTTGAATAAGGGAAGCCTTTTTCTAATTTGTGCAAAACTGCCATATGTGCTAACACAGCTTGCACATGGTGTGTGATAAGTTGTAAGCTCTAGAGCTAATAATCTGTAACTGATACATGTTAAAGCATAGCTGTGTGTGAATGATTTGCTTCTTCTACATATCAGGACAGATTCGAAGTTGTCCCTCTAATGTCAGCATTCTCTCACCTGCATTCCCTCAGTGGAAGAGAAAGGGACTCTAGAACAATGAGTAGGCTGGCATCACATGCAACCTGCAGACAAGCTCACCACTGATGCCTTGTTCACAACCATGAGAATCACAAGCATTTATAATACTTTAATTCCCCCCAACCACTGTTAGGTTTTGTCAAAGTCCAGGTTGTACTCATCGGACTGTGTCACTTATGCCAATGTAATTTAATGTGTGTCCTGCTAGAAAAAAGACTAACCACTTCAGATACCATCTAACACCTCATCTTACAAATGAGGAAGATAAAATTCAGAATTTTGGAAAGGCTCATAAACTTTTTCCTTTGCTCTGGACAAGTCTCTTTTCATAACAACTATCAGAGCGATGATGACCATTTATTTACTGGATGCACGCACTATGCTAGGTGTTTTCCTACAAGTTAGCTCATTAATAAAATTCAAGGGAATTAGGTATAAAATCCCTAATTAGCAGAGGGAAAACCTAAAGCTTGGAAAAATTAAGGCAGAACTGGTTTACAACCACAGTTCTTTCTCTTACTCCACAGCCTGTGCCCTTTCTGTTATGTCTTGCTACCTACTCCAACCAAACAAGGGCAGTCCTTTAACATGTAAGACAGCCTACTGGAACAATGAACAGACACTAGTGAGTGATGGGGAGGAGACCATACTGTCTTGAGACCACTGAACACAGTAATGTTTAAAACAGGAATTCCGTGGGGCCACCTGCCCATAGCTTCATTTGTAGTGTCAAGTGTCTGAGACAGGTATTTCTCAGTAAGACTCTAGCTCTGAGTTGGTGCGAGCTCAAAGCAGCCCAAGAGTGGGGCTGCTCACACAGGAATGGGGAGGAAGAATGGAAGAAAGGGTCAGGTAGTGACTAAATTGCCAACTTGACCTTCACTTCCATTGCTTCATGGCTGCTTCTTTAGACTGTGTGAGCTACTGCTGTTATTATTCCTGTGGGACCCCTAAGGGTACCCATCAGTACCAGCAATTACACCTTCCAGAAGACAGCAACTTTCTCTCTGAAACCCCTCAGGTGCCTGCACCACTCCTGGGTTCTAATGAGATAAGGAATTTATTTTTAAACGAACATGTTTAGTTGTCTAAGTTATTTTTAGAAGATGATTAGTAAATTTTCCTAGTGCCTCATTTCCAAATCAAAATTTCCTACTGTGGTATTTTTCAAAAATCCCTTTGTAAATATCTTTTATGGAAATATTTACCCAGCACATTTACCAAAGCCATAGGATTTAAAAAGATAAAACAGATCTGGAGTTTACAGAACAAAGATTCTTTTTGGAAATTCTTAATACAAGTCAGATGTGCAGAGTAGGAGCCAAGTTTTTAAGAATTGTCAAGATCTATACATTTCAGATCAACCTCCAAGCTTATCCTGAATTCAGAGAAGCCTAAGGCTGTTACACAGCACCTCCCACTAACTCACACTCTGTTACCATTGCAACCACTTGGCCTTATTTCCAAGGTATTATCACCCAATTAGCATAATCTTCTGATAAGAAGTACTAACAGTCTGAATTAGAAGACAGAACCCATATCAATGGTTTCTGCAATTGTTAACTGACTGTGGACTTGACCTGCTACAGATGTGAGAAGCGACTGTGTCTTTTCTGCAGAGGATATCTTTTAGGAATAAAACTGGAAGAGTTTAGACTTCCTTTATAGGACTGAATGGCAACAGATTTACAAACTTGGAAGTTTTACAGCCTGTGGGTTGGAGTTGATTACTTTATGACTAAGCCGTCTTCTTACATGAACACTTTTGGGAAAAAAAATAATAAAACATGTTTGGCCTCTGAAGCTAAAATTCCTTCCTAAGCTTTGCTAAACAGAGAGAATAAAATTAAAATACAATGTTTAAAAAGTTAGAATAAAGTATAATGTTAGGTAGATATACACAGAGAAACTACATAATACATTCTCAAACATAAAACAAGCTGGTTAAATACCAAAAAATAGCTTTTGCCAATAAAATGTTACTATTAGTTTCAAAGATATTTATCATAATCCATTATAAACTACCCTCATAGAAAAATTCAAAATTAGGAGTAAGCGTATTTCACAAAAACAGAAAAAAAAAAAATTCATATTTCTGGTGTTAGCATCAATATTAAAAATAGTCTCTGACAAATCATAAAATTACTTTTCACCCATTCTGTCTCAGAAAATACTGCTGACAAACTTATAACACTCCATTAAAATTAATTTTAAAATGTCAGCAGGGTGCACTAGGAACATGAGGGGCTCCATATGGCAAGTCAGAGCAGCTTCCTAAGTTCCGTGTACTCGGTACTAAGCACATTCTCAGGATCAACTATTCACAGCTATGTCTACATGACTGTGAGTTCAAGTTACAGTTTTTCTACCTGGACAATATGTTGTTGAACTGTGACTAGCAGCTGCCCTCAACTGCCCGTCTGAATAGCACCCACAGTGGTCCCAGGATAAGGCCTTAGGCTCCAAAAGAGCTTGTTTGAACACTAGGAGATCTTCTGATTCATCCCCGGGGATAAGAGGTAATAAAACGTTTGAACAGCAGGAATCAGGAGATCAGATGTCCTTACCTTTCACTGTTCTTTTTGCCACTGGAGGAACTGCTGGTGGAGCCGGTCCGATTCCGGTTTCCTTTGGAATCCCCATAGCTTTCCCTTCGGCCACCAGGAGATACTCGTTCAGAAGAGCTGGTCCTCTTGATGCTACTTAAAGTGGATGTGAATGACAATGAAATCCTTAGCATCGTGATTTTATTTTATTGCTAAGTGTCCAAACATATACACAGACCATCACACTTCCACGTGGATATTCAAAAGATAGATTGGTTCTAAAATCCTAACTACAGAGATCAGAAAGCTTTTCAGAATGTCACTTGGAGTCAATGCCTCTGCTCGTTGCCTTTGAAACGGAGGCAATTAGTACAGTTCAAAGTCATAGAGGAAACTGAAACGTAAAATTCCCCAATACTGCGCAGTACTTGAAGCCTCCAGGGTCTTAAAGGGAAGTGATCCTGCCCTTGAGTAGCTCCCATCTAGACCAATGGACCCGAGCGCGTGTGATGTTTCCCCTCCACCCCCTAGATATATTTGGCAACATGTGGAGACATTTCTGGTTGTCACAACTCAGGAGAGGGGGCTGCCATTGGCACCTAGTGGGTAGGGGCCAGGGACGCTGCTGAACATACTACAATGCCCGGAACAGCCCCTCACAACAAAGAAATATCCATCCCAAATATCAATACTGTCAATATTGAAGAACTCTAGCCTAACTCTGGCACACGTGGGACAGAAACAAATAGGATGCCCCAGGTAACAAGAGACACATTCTACCACAGGCGAAACATAGAGGTGGCACCCGCATAAGTGCTTCAGCTTCATTCTGCACGACCAGGGGGTCTCAAAAGCTTGGAAGTTGGGAGGTGAGGCCCGAGGAAAGCTTCCTGAGGACTATAAATTTCTGGGAAAGAGCAAATGAATGGCTTGAACATGTTGTAATTACATGGATGGAAGAGCCTGCTCTGGGAAAAGGCATACCCTATACACAGGTACTTCACAGGCATAAGGGGTACACAAGAGCCAGGGCCCGGGTGCAGGCTGGTCGTTCCCCTTAGAACATGCAATGGAATGAATATTTGTGTCCCCCCAAATTCATACGTTGCAATCCTAACCTCCAGTGTGATGGCATGAGGAGGTGAGGCATTTAGGAGGTGATTAGGTCAGGAGGGCAGAGTCCTCGTGAATGGGATTAGAGCTCTTATAAAAGGGATCCCAGAGAGCTCAGTCCTCTTTCCACCATGTGAGGCACGACGAGAACATGGCAGTCTGTAGCTTGGAAGAGGGCCCTCGCCAGAGCCCACCCTTGCTGGCACATTGATCTCAGACTTCCAGATTCAAGAACTGTGAGCAATAAATGTTTGTTGTTTATAAGCCCCCCCAGGTCTATGGTGCTCTGTCACAGTAACCATGACTGTACTACAGGTATCTGTACCTTTTTAAAATCTTAATTGTTAGTCTATATAGTTTCTTGAGATACTATCTCATTGATTATTTTTGTATACTTTGCAGAGCCTCGTATAGAAGCTTGACACATATTTATTAAATAAAAGGGTGAAATAAATGGATAAATAAATGGAAGTATCACACTTTGCCCCATCATAGGAACAGACACGAGTTGTTTGAATGTAGCACCTTCTCTGTGAGCAAGAAAGAAGGAGGGGAAGGATGGTGGGGCCGTCCAGGGTGGGGCTGGGGCAGAAGTGCAGACTTGGGTGGGGTCTGGCTGCACAGAGTTGGAGGTGTGGGTGGGAGAAGGTACGAGTCTGCAAGTCGTGAGATGGCTCAGGACACTGAAAGGGGTCCCTGAGCCACAGGCATGGAGGAAATCACCACGTGAGGTGGCGAGGAAGGAGAGAAGAGGGGGAGAAGAGCACTTAGGGACACAGTGATCATTTTAAGATGTGGACTGAGAAGTGGCCAAGGGAGCCTGAGGCAGCAGAGACACCAGGAGAGCACAGTGGGCAGAGACCTGGGACCAGGCACAGGACTGCATAAGGACACTGGTGCCAAGGAGGAGGGGGTTGAGGATGGCCATTAAGAAGTGCCAGGCACTTCAGGGAGCATAGCACCAGCGGGGGGTGGACATGGAACCCAACCTCAAGACCACTGCAACCAGGCTGGGTTCCCATGTGCTCCTATCTGGGAGGCCCCTCCCGGCGGCCAGCAACTCTCTCCCTTGCCTTCTGCTTTCATCCTCTTCCTCCACGGTCCATTCCTTCCTCAGCCCAACTCGCAGTCTCTTTTCCTCTGTGACTTCCAATCGTTCAGTTAATAACCTCTTAGCAGGTTTTTAAAAGCCACATGGTGGGGCTTCTGGTCAGGATGGTGGAATAGATGGTCCCCAGCGTCACTCTCTCCCACAAATCAACCAATTTACAACTATATAAAAGCAACAACAGCCAAGCTGGGGCCACTAGAGCTCAGGAGACGAGGAAGAGAGACCTACGGAGTGCATGAAGGCAGGAGAAGCCATGATGAGAGAAAGGAAGAACTACTCTGACTATTTCATACCGCGGCTGCTTTAAGGTTGAAACTGCTGAGCACACGGAGCAAGAGCCAGCAAAAGCCACAGCTGTGCCCTTCGGATGAAGTTGCTTGGAGGCAGCAGGGGAGAAGAAGGCCTTGGTGGCCTCCAGGCCAGCAGGACTACTAATAGGGTTCCATGGACCCATGCAGGAGCAAGGAGCAACAATAACTGAAAAAAGGAGCCACTCGGAGGCCAGTGAGTCATCACAAGGGACTGGAGCATGGCCCGTCCCATCGAAAGTGTGTGGAGCATGGGTGGTGGGGGAGACGGGCTCACCAGAGGAAACACTGGGATACAGCAAGGACAGCTGATCGGCCCCCAAATCAGCATAGGACCACTCAGAGGAGACTGGTCAGGAGTATAGAATTGCATGGGGGGCAGTTTGATGAAAAGACTCAGGCCCAGACCAGAGTTTCAACACAACCCATGTGCACTGGGTCTCTGGAGAGCCCAAAGTACCTATAAAGTCAATCATTAAAACCTGAACTGAAAAAAGGAGCCACTCGGAGGCCAGTGAGTCATCACAAGGGACTGGAGCATGGCCCGTCCCATCGAAAGTGTGTGGAGCATGGGTGGTGGGGGAGACGGGCTCACCAGAGGAAACACTGGGATACAGCAAGGACAGCTGATCGGCCCCCAAATCAGCATAGGACCACTCAGAGGAGACTGGTCAGGAGTATAGAATTGCATGGGGGGCAGTTTGATGAAAAGACTCAGGCCCAGACCAGAGTTTCAACACAACCCATGTGCACTGGGTCTCTAGAGAGCCCAAAGTACCTATAAAGTCAATCATTAAAACTTGAGCTGCACCAAAAGCCTTCCCTAG